CCCGGCCTCCCGTGTCGCTGCCTTTCCCTGGGCCTGAGTCCTTCCCATTCACCCGCACACGGCAAGGCGAGGCTGGCTGGGGCCCTCCGCAGCGTCCTTCCCGTTCTGACTCAGTATGAGGTGGCTCAGTCTAATCCGTATTTAACCTCTTCTTCTCCTAACGAGTCTCAGTCCCGGAAAACCCGTGAGGAGTTAAGAATAGAATGGGGCCACCCAGGCACCAGCCGCTTTATCAGGCTCCCTCAAGGAGGGACAGGGCACGCCGAGCTAAGATCCCTCAGCCTCAAGGCTGACCCCCTTCCGCCACGGGACCAGCACATGGTCCGGACTGGTGTTAGATTGATTGACACACACACACACGCACACGCACACGCACACGCACACGCACACGCACACACCACAGATTTGAAAGCAGATAGCACTGCTACAAACCAGGCGCTCTACCAGGATCTTCAGTCTTACAGCATTCCTTACCACCATAAAGGATCAAAATTCTTATTTTGCGAATGAGGATAAAGAGACCCAGGGAGGTAACGGACGCCACCCGAGGCCACACGGCTAGCCGCCGCAGAGCCGGGGCTCAGATACAGGTCCGTCTCTGGGGCAAGCCCATCTGTTTGACTAATTCTCCTCCCCGCTCCTCCCCCACGGTTAGGCTGAAACGTTTCTCGTGTGCGTTTCACACAGCACTCGGAAGAGACAGCGCTGGGTGACGTCTGGCGGGATGCTTCGACCTGGGCTCCTTCTGGCCCCGCCGAACCGGCCAGGCGCCCCTTTTCTTGAATATAATGGACGTGAGGGAATAAAGACTTGATGGCAAGACAAATAAACGTGCGTGGCACTAGAGCACCTCTGTCAGGAGAGGTAAGAGATTAGCTTGTGGTTTTTAAGTCTGATTGACAGCAGACAGCCACACGCCGTTTGAGTCTTCACGGAAGGTCCTTATTCCATGCCCTGCATGACAATGGGTCAGGACAGTGGCCTGTGCCCTGGCTCCCTGCAGACAAAGTGTGCATGTGTGTGCACGCATGCGTGCGTGTGTGCACACGTGCACATGATGCATATATGCTACTTCTCTTCGTGAAGAAAGTGCCACCAGCTGCCCTAATCTTAATAAAGTGTCCCTTGGTCTGTCATCATCGCTCGTATTGTGTGTATTGTAACTGGGTCCCCTGCGGAGAGAGTCGTAAAATCAGAACCTTGGTCTAAGGATGCTCATCTTGACACTGTTTAGAACAGACTGGGCGTGGTGAATAGGATAGTGTTGGCGTCGCGGTCCCAGAGGCCTGGTGACCTGTGGGTGCAGGGCAGGTGGCATGAAAAGGGAGAAATGAAAGAGACGGGATCAGACAGCAGGGACCGGTGACCTTGCGAAGAGGTGAGCCAGGCCAGGCATGTGCTCCGGACGCCTGCAGACATCGAAGCAGCCCTGACGGCTCGCACTGGGGGTGATCGCGAGCGCCTTCTACGCCCAGATGGAGCCGAGAGGCCCTGTCTGCCGCAGGGCTGGCGGCCGGGCGTTTTTGCACAGAGAAGAGTGGGGGCTGAGTGTAAACAAAGCCGCCTCTGCGTGGAATCCCCGCCAGCTGGAAGTAAAGACTGTCTTCCGAGGTCCCCAGTGGAAAGAAGCCCAAGACAGGACACGTGGACTTCAGCTCCGTTCTTACCTCTCGCGATGCGTCCCCCAGTCGGGGGTCTCCTGCTGACGGTGGCGTCCCCTTCGTAAGCCCTCGTGTCCTGCAAGCAGGACGGTGCTGAAGGCCCAGCTGCAGCCACGGGGGTGGCACGGAGGGGGCACGTGGCCAGCTCGGTGGTCGGCGAAGCTGGTTCACGCACCCTCAGCGCGGGCTCCATGACAAGGGTGCCCTTCGGCCACTCCGGTCCCGCCTCGTGCTGCAGAGGTCCCCATGGCCTGACGACCCAGGCCACACTGCAGCACCTGCTCCCTCAAACTGCCGGGGGTCCGAGGAGGAGGCTTCACGCTCGGTCCGGGCCGTCTCTGCAGACACGGAGCGTCTGCCCCACGAGCCCTCATCCCGTGGTCACGGCTCCAGACCGCCAGGCCCGAGCGGCCTGAGCCCAGCCTGTCCACACGTCCTGTGCGGGAAGGATGCTGCAGGGACACGGGGCGCCTGTGGTTTGGGGGGCAGGAGCGTGACGCAGCACAGCCTTCAGTCTTCGAACCAGACTGACGAGGGCTCAACCGTTTTGCAGCAAATTGCAGAACCACTCTGGGTGTCAGCGGCCCCGTCTGCTAGCGGAGGTGGTGCTCCTCCCCCCGCCGGGACCCCAGCCACGGTGGAGAGGGCGGGCATCCCCCGTGGAAGCCGTCGCAGCGGGACCTCTGGCCCCCCACCCAGGCCGGCTCTCCTGAGCTCAGCCGCGTCCTTCCCACCCCACCCCCTGCGCTGACTCCCACCCACCCGTCTCTGCGGTTCCCACTGCCGCCTGTAATCTAAGGGAAACCTTGGAAGGGCGTGGGCTCCAGTGCAGAAGCAGCCGGTCCCTCTTTCTGCGGGTCATGTGACCCGGCTCAAGAGGCTTTTGGGATAAGAAGGGTAGTGACCAACGTCCTTCATTTCTCTGCCTGTGAAGTGAGGTGAAGGGGTCACGAGGTTCTCCTCTGCTGGCGGCCTCCTGCCTCTGGGTCGTACCAGCCTTCGGAGGGAGGGACCCAGCTGAAATTGGAAACAGCGCTCCGCCCTGACTTCCTGGAGGTGGCAGCAGGTGGCGCTCCACCCTGACTACCCGGAGGTGGCAGCAGGTGGCGCTCTGCCCTGACTACCCCAGGGTAGCAGCAGGTGGCACTCTGCCCTGACTACTCAGGGGTGGCAGCAGGTGGCACTCCGCCGACTTCCTGGAGGTGGCAGCAGGTGGCGCTCTGCCCTGACTACCCCAGGGTAGCAGCAGGTGGCACTCTGCCCTGACTACTCAGGGGTGGCAGCAGGTGGCGCTCTGCCCTGACTACCCGTGATGTGTCTGGGCAAGAGGTCAAGAGGAAAGAGAGGGTTTATTGAGCTGCCGACCACAGTGGCTGCCGCAAGCAGACGGCCCTGCGTCCGCCACAGCCGCCCCCGGTGAGGCGCACACGCACGCGCACACCCGGGCTACTGACCTGGCGCCCAGGCAGGCCACGCTGGGCTCAAGCATTTCTTCTCCCTGTGGCCGGAGTCAAGCGGAACTCCGGAACCTCCTTGGGAGAAAGAAGCCGGCCGGGGACACAGCCCGTCCCCACGGCACAGGGCAGAGAGCGCGCCCAACTGCGGCTCTTAAAGTTATGTGCAAAGCGAGTCACAGGCCAGGGTCGCCATCATCGACGGGGCGGGGTAGGGCGCCCCCTGGGGAGAGGCGCCGGGCGGCAAAGCATCTCTGAGCATCGTAGCACGGGCCGCCTCGCCCACGTTAGCGGCTGTCGGATATCTGCCCCTTGGAGCCACCGATCCAAGTGTTGTCCTTTTTTGAACTGTGAGTCTCATCCTAGAAAATCCAAATGGAGCTTTATCAGGTTCTCCTGTATGCAAAGGACCGGCGAGGCCCTGGGGGGCAGGGGGACCACAAGCCATTAAGGAAGACGAGCAGCGGAAAACAAAGCGCCCGGGGGCCTGTCTGACCCAGGCCAGCGGAGAGGAGCAGCCGACGGAGCACGTGGTGCCCCGGGTGCCAGTTCTGTCCTGAGCACCCTTCCCACCCCTAGGAAGCTAGCAGCACACACGCATGCGCACGCACGCGCGCCTTCCCACCCCTAGGAAGCTAGCAGCACACACGCACGCGCACGCACATACGCACGCGCACGCACACATGCACGCGCACGCGCACGCACGCGCCTGGGCCTCTCAGGGTTGGTTTCGGCAAAGCCCCTCAGATTCGGGGGATGCACAGATAATGCGTACGGCTGTGATCAACAGCCAGAGCTACTTAGAGAGGCCAAGCATCAACCTGAACTTGAGAAGAGGGATTAGTCCGAAAAGCATCTTGATACTTCCTCGGTTCTGACTGCAAAGCCAAAATGTCTAACAGTGAGTTTCCCATTCAGTCCAACTCATTCATTCATAAATCCTTCGCGTATCCGCGTTCGCATTCATTGGTTCATATTTATTGAGGGGATACAGTATGCGTGCGGCTAGGACGTGGGGGTGCGGATGACACGCACGCGAATGTATGACGAGGGAGAAAAGGTTCATAGAGGAACTTACATTTGATGCGGAGAAAAAAACAAATAAGCAAATAAACATTTTATAATTTACATCTACATCAAGTCAAAACACTGCATAAAAAGTGTTCTGAGTAGGTTTGAATCGAAAGCCGTGGGTGTTCAGCCGCGGGCGAAGGTCTTTGGGGCAGATGAAGGAAAGAGGTCGTGGAGAAAGCAGTATTTAAAATAGCTCCTAAAGGTTACCTCGAATTTCACGGGGAAACATGGGCGCAGGGAGCCACCACGGGCACAAAGTTTTGAAACAAGAAGCATGAGGCGAGTTTTGAAAACAGCAGCTCCCTTAATAAGCTGCGTTAAGGGAAGCGGGGACCAAAAATGGGAATTACAGGAGTCGTCGGCTTGTGCAGCGTTTTTAAAAAGTTCATATCCTCTCTCCTGCTTCAAGCAGTGAAATTATTCTCACTCGTAAATCCTAGCATATCCCTCCCGGCTTCGGGCTAAGCCAGGGACGGGGTGGTGCCCTTGGCCGCCCCTCTATCCCACGGCCAAGGTCTCCAGTGAATGTCAGCCTCTTCCAGGTGGAGCCGGGACTCGACCCCCTGTCAACCCCACTGGGAGGAAACGCGGTTGCCTTCTCAGTCCTCGTCATCCGTCTATGGGACGGTAGCACTCGGCGGGACCTGAGACCAAATTCTAGCCCGTCTCCTCATTTTGGAGAACAGGAAAATGGAGGCTCGGAGGTCAAAGGCAGGTGCCCAAGCTCTGAGGGCCAGCGAGGGCCGAGCACCAGGCGAGTTCTTCCTGTGCTGCCTCAGCTCCTTCCCCGTTTGTCTCTACTGTCCTCGTCATGCCCGAAGAGACGGTGACCCGTGACTTCCAGGAGGTGGACCGTGGCCAGCTTTCCAGAGAGGAACGCCTTGCTCACTCGCCCCTCCCCTTCCTGCTCAGTCTTCGACTCCCAAAGGTGACAACCTCGGGCGTCTTGTTGGAACTCGCCTCTCGCCAGGTACCCGACTTTCTCTCCTCGTTTCTGAAGCTCCTAGGACTGTTGAGAATCTTCTGGAAACATCACAGGGGGGCAAGGGGTGGAGAGCAGAGATAAATTAATCGCAAATTGCTGGAGACTTTATCCTCTCTTCTCTCCATGGCACTGCTTTTAATACCACTGTACGGAACACCTACAATGAGCATCTGAGCATCTTGTTTGCAGTTAGAGGATGAAATGATTCATGTTACAAATGGATTTCCCACATTTAAAACAATAAAAAAAGGTCTCGAGGTCACTTTTAAGCAGTATCTCCTAAAGCAGAGGTCCCCAGTCCCCAGGCCATGGACTGGTACCGGTCCGTGGTCTGTTAGGAACTGGGCCGCAGAGCAGGAGGTGAGTGGCAGGTGGGTGAGCAGAGCTTCATAGGAGCACTGGTCCCCGGTGCCACGAAGGTTGGGGACTCCTGTCCTAAAATGTTTACCAGATGAAGCAATTAGTGGGGGCGGAAACTCAAAACTAAAATGTTCTAAGTTATGACTGCTGGTTAAGGATCGACCAGAAATTAAGATCAGACAAATCGGTATGATGATAATGCTGCGGATGAGATACAGTTTGCTCAGGTTTAAGTTTTCATTTTACCCGATGAGCAGCCAAAATACAGGCATGTCGGCAGCCCCGGAGCTCCGCTGTCCCCTCCTGCAAGCACGGTCCGCTGTCCCCTCCTGCAAGCGCGGTCCCCTGTCCCTCCTCCAAGCACGGTCCGCTGTCCCCTCCTGCAAGCATGGTCCGCTGTCCCCTCCTGCAAGCACGGTCCCCTGTCCCTCCTCCAAGCACAGTCCGCTGTCCCCTCCTCCAAGCACGATCCCCTGTCCCTCCTCCAAGCGCGGTCCCCTGCCCCAAAAGCCTCTCGTGAGGAACCCAGAGTTCCTTTTGCCTTTTCTCGTTTCGTTCTTTGAAATTGTGTAATAAGTAGGCTCCACGTGTGTATCCGGATGAAGCCATTAACCACCCTCCTTTCCCCAAAGCACAGAGGTAGAAGCGCCCTGGCGGGGATGTGTTTAGATAGTTAGATGATTCCCATTGTCCCTGGCAGGGTCCCCTCCCAGAGTCAGGCCTCTGTCGCCCGGTCACCCCATTATTCGTCTGCAGGGTGGAGCCGGGATTTCTCAAGCTTTGATTCACCTTCACAAATGAATCTCACCTGTTCCCTCCCCTCCCTGATAGAGTCACAGGCACACACCTACTCTCAGGTGTCTGCTCCCTAGAGAGGGGAGATGCAGCACCTGGCCCGGTTACAACACGGTCCTTTGAGGAGGAGAGAGCAGATGCAGGACCAGCCGGGTGACAGTCCCGGGCCAGGCTGGGGTGCTGGAGGTGGGAGGGGGGCGGCAAAGGCGCCACCCCACATAATCCCTCGGGGCTCTTCTCACCTGTAGGAGTTGTTTACGGGTGGTGATTGATTCAAGGGGTGCTAGGAGGTCTCCCCTCCACCTCTGAAAGAATAAGCCACTCGCCCAGCCAGTCGGGTGCCTGGAATTCAGCCACTTCGGGCTGAAGGGACTCAGATCGGCCCTCCCTTCTGGATCTAGTCATCATCAGAGCCAGTTTTCTCATTGAGAAAATTTATAATACGCCTAGCTTCTTTCACAGCGTGTCGTGAAGACTGTCTGCGGAGATGCTTTATAAGATTTAATGACTAATAAAAACGCACCTGTGCCCGGCAGCGTGGGGGAGGGGGGTCAGTTCGGGCCTCTCCGAGAGGGGAGAGAAGATGACTCCTGAGTGCCAGGGAGAAAAGAAGGGGGTGCTGGAGCAAGAGGCAGAGACCACCAGAGCCGGCTCCCTATTTTGTCATCAACGTGGCCTTTGCGGAGAAGCTGCCTGGGGACTTAGTCACTACAGTGACTGAAAACAGCTGTGAAGTCGGGAAACCTGTGATCCATCCCTGGCTTTGACATTAACCCGCGTGTGACCTTGAGCACAGCGTGCCCCCTTTCCACGTCTGGATTCCCCTCTACGAAATGGGGATAATGTGGCCAACAAGGAAGCCGAGTGTCAGGGTTTTGAAAAGTCGAATGTGTTCGATGCAGATGAGTGGCAGGCGTCTGAGATATTTATGTCCTAGAGGACACGGCCCTTTCAAGGCCAGCCAGGTTTAGGCCTCTATCCCGGCCACCCCTGGAGTGTCCTCTGAGATGACAGCTGTGTCATAAACCAAGTTTTATCACTAATTAGCAAACTAGGCAGGAGTCGTTTACTGATAAAGTAAGAGGCCAATGAGCAAATGGGAAAAACAAGGACTCAGGCGTATCCCAGAGAAGCGTGTGGGTGCCGGAGACACGAGAGGACAGTGCCGTCCACGCCGTCACGCGCGCCACCTTATTCCGATGCCTTCTACCGGCCAGGCGTGCGAGCTGCGGCCACGCCAAATCCGGACAGTTTGCATCAGAGTGGACGTACTGGCGTGGAGCGTGGGGACGAGGGGTGCCGGCGGCGGCGAGTCCATCCTGAAGATGGGGTGCAGAACCCAGAATCTGGGACCCAGAATGGTACATATGAAAGTGACAGGCCTTGGAGGAGGTGGAGGACGAGGCCCGGCCTGGAGGGGGGATTAAGGCAAGAGTTCAGTTTTAAGTGAGGCTGACCTTGAAAAACGAGCTACATCCATCCGGTCTCCATAGGACAGAAAGCTCGGGAAGGAGGGTTAGTCACGGTCCCACCCAGTGATAGTCACTTGTCCACCGAGGAGACGCTACCTGCTGTGACATGGTGGAAACAAGCTGTGGGCCGAGGCCCCACCCAGCTCCGCCCCGAGGAGCTGCTGGTTGTTCGGCAGGTCATTTAACTTTTTTAAACTGGAAAATCAGATGCAAACTGCCCAACGGAACCGCCATGATGATTAAATAAGGCGGGGGTTTGAAATGCCTAGAAACAGACTTCTCAGTATTTCTACCGTTTCTCAGGCTTTGCTTGACGGTGACAGAAATGCTCACATTGGCCTTGAGTCGGCCAGGATCCTGAGGTTCGGAGCAGTGGCCTAAAGGTGACCGGCCTGCCTGCGCCGTCCTGCCTTTCCCCACCCCGGGGGAGGGACCCCGGCTCCTTCCCCTCCATCTCACGAGGGCCTTGAGCGCAGTCGCCAGATTCAGTGAATGAAAATAACAACCTGCCCCGTCAGGGCCGAACCTCAGAGAAGCGACAAGTCATTCTGTAGCCTGCCTCATGCAGTATTGGGGGCATAATGATCGCAAAATAACTTCTGTATCTCGTCGGGCAGCCCCGCCCCGAGGGCCGAATTCTGTCCCCGCATCTTTGACCGGCACTCATACCCGGCAGTGTCTGACTTCAGGTGGGCCGGTGGGGGACACGACCCCGCGCTGGTTAAGCTCGGGGACACTGTCTACGTCCACTGGCGGAGAAGCGCTTAGAATCCGATGTGAAAGGCGGGACACTTGTAAGCTGCGTGTAGCGGGGACGGGGCTGGGGACCGAGGACCTGCAGCCAGGCTCTCGCCGTCTCTCTCTGCCACGTTCAGAGGACCGGGGTCTTCGAGGCCTCTCAATCCGAGTTCAAACCCCGTCTCTGCTGTTCGCTGCCTATGCGATCTTTCCCAGCCTCGTCTTTCCCACCTGCAAAATGGTCCCAACGGCACGTACCTCCCGGGGGGGCCGTAAAGACCAACAGAACGCTCGGCGCTGGGGCGAGCTCGGCGCCGGGCACCAGGGAGCATCGAGCACGGTGGCAAAGGCGACGTCTGTGTTTTTGTGAGAAGCGCCGCGAGCCCACGGTCCCCCCTCTTTCTCCTCCATCCTCAACGCTCCCCAGGAATCCTCAGGTGCGTTCTACTGTCACGAGGTCGTGAGTCCTCGAGTTTGAGCGAAGACCTTGGGCGGGCGAGGTCAGCTCAGGCAGACGGGAATGCTGGAATTTGCGGTGGGCGTTTTCCATCAAAACAGGCCGGCAAAGCCAGTCCTGGAGGAGAGGTGGGCGAGGGCTTCCCGGCGAGGTGGCGAGCGGGGCCACGCCAAGTGCCCGCGGCAGGTTGGGGGCCCTTATCAGGGAGCCAGCGGCGTCCGGCCACGCAGCTCGCTCAGCCTCCTCTCCTGGGGTCCAGCTTGCACCTCCGGTAAGGGGGGTGCATTTGTCTTCCTGGGGTCCGCGGGGCCCTCCTTCCTCTTTGAACTGTCTCGGCCACTAGGCCAAGCGCCTCTCCTTTCTCGGGTAATCAGAGGAGTGACAATTAAAGAAACGCCACGCTCATTGTCACCTAGGGACTCCAATCTCTGTTCCACACACTGCTAGGTGTGACTCATCTCCTGATTCTGGCTTCGGCCGCCTGGCGAGAGGATCTTGCTCATAGAGAGGAGAGACTTAGAGCCGTGGCTTTCTGTAGCGATGCTGAGCTTCCTCCAAAGCGCGCTCAGGCCCTATCGGCACGACCCGCGAGCTTTTCCGCTACGCTCTTAGGTTTACAGAAACAAGTGTGGTGTATATTGTATTTTGTACCCTACAGCTCCCATGTCTCGCTACCTCGATTGCCACCTGAGACCTTTGCTTCCCGTTTATAATCACAAATTTAGAAAATGAGGAAAGCTGCCTACAGGGAAAACTAGAGACACACGTCCCAGCTGGGAAGGCGTCAAGGAACTTCCAGATCAGCATCCTCCAAATAAGCGCACGGGGTCCAGAGAACGGGGGGCCCCAGCGGCGTGCCTGGCCGGTGTTTGGCCAGTGCCCTTTCCTCTGAGCCAGGCTGCCTCTTGGGAAAACATCTTCCTGTGATAGTCTCTTACCTCCAGAAATCTATTTGCCTTCAACTCCCCAGCCCTCCATGGAGGGCTAAGACCACTATCCCATGGCCAAGTTAAATGACTCGGTGAGCGTTCCATGGTGAGTCAAAGGCGGAGCCGGGATTAGAACCCAGGCCTCGGAGTTCCTGGAACGGGCTCCCTCCAGCCCCACCACTCACACAGACACTTCCTTCTAAGGCAGGGCCCTCCCTGCCGTCTTCCTCGTGCCGGTCCATCCCCGTCCACACTCGCCGTCTGCACTACCCAAGGCAGCCAGCGGGCACCGCAGACCCCTCAGCTGGGGTCTCGCGTCTCGATCTTGTAAAATGTCTGGGCTAGCTCGGAATCGTCAGCTCAGCACCCCTCTCCTATTTCCTGGTAAGACTCAGAAATCAGCCGTGTATTCGGTTCAGTCGGGAGTCCGGGGAGGATGAAGGCAGACGGGAAATCAGAACGACACAGAAGGACGGAGGGCAGAGAGCGAGCTCCCGGCGGACGCGTGCGAATCCGCCCGCTCGCCCAGCCGAGCCCGTCGATCCCCTGTCGCCGTCTCGGCTGGTGGAGCGAGCGTTCTTCGGGCATAAGAAGGGAGAAAAGATGGCTTCCTCCCTTCTCATGGCGTCCCCTGCCCGGTCTCTTCCAGGCTCACCTGTCCCCGCTGCAATGTCTTCACAGCAGCAGGTGAAGCAGCCCTGTCAGCCACCGCCTGTCCAATGTCAAGAGACTTGTGCACCCCAAACCAAGGAGCCATGCGCTCCCCAGGCTAAGAAGCAATGCCCACCCAAGGGCACAGCCATCCCTGCCCAGCAGAAGTGCCCCCCGGCCCAACAAGCCTCCAAGAGCCAACAGAAGTAAGGCTCGGCTGGAGCATCGCCTGCTCACCTCCGGCCTGCCAGATGGAGCCTTCCTTCCCACTGCTGTGTCTCCCAGCTCCAGGCTGCTCCTCCTCTCCCAGCCCCTCCTACCGGAGTCCGGGGAAGCTTTGCCCCCCGGTCTTCTTCTACGCGCCACCCTGACGCCCACCCAGGGGCCCCTGAGTTGGTCTCAGCCTCTCCAACCTCCAGCTCCACCATGGCTACAGCACCTGCTTGTCCCAAGGCGAGGAGTGAGTCAGGGCTTCTTCTGGGGTTCCGCCCTGACCAGTGGGGTCACCAGAGGTCCCGCACAGCTTCTGCCTCCTTCCCTTCCCCAGCTCCCCGTCCCTCTGCTTCTCGTCTGTTTCCTCCCCTAATAAATCTGCGCCTCACGCCATCGTCTGTGTCCCGGCTCCTGGCTCCCGTCTGTGACCCACTCATCATTGGGGGAAGTGCGCGTGCGAGCGCACACGTGCCGGGAAGGGGGACACTCTTGCCAGCTGATCCTGTCTAGGGAAGGACAAAGGCAGCGACGTTCAGCATCCAACTCCAGAGGCGCCGGCCCGCCTGGAAGCTGTCACTCTGAAGAAGCAGACAAAACGAACTTCAGTGACGTCGGCGTAGCACGCTCACTCCGCATGTGCCGGGGAAGCGTTCGCGTACGCGTTTACCACCCGTCCGCTTACTCGCCCCCGCGACTGCTCGCTCACCACCTCACCCTCAGCGAGCCCTGGCTCGTGCTTAGTTTCCACTCCGCCCGCCTGGCTGTCCAGAGCTGGCCCGAGACGGCCTGCCCGAGTCTCGGCCGACTCCTCAGAGGTCACGGTCATTTTCCTACACGGGGAAGGTCATTCCTGGGGTCGCCGCGTATGGCGTGTGTGCGGTTTTACCGCTGGCTCTGTCAGTTAGCACAACTTTATACGGCTTGTGAAAGAACTCTGTTTCTGCTGCTGGCCTCCCAACACTGGCCGAGACTGGCTGCCCATCAAAGAAAGAAGCAGCGAACCTTCCAGACGGGAGACGTGAGTGGTGGGAGGAAGGAGAGATACTATGGGGGAGGGAGCGGGTTCTCGCCCCTCGAGCTCTACTTTTCTCTTGGATTTGCTCCCCGAATTCTCGCTGGGCGACGGGATAATGAACCGTGTGCTCGTTTCACACCCTGGCCTGCAAAGGACTCTCTGGCCACCTTCTCTGTTTCCCCTTAAAGTCGCCCTCCTGGCCGATAGTCCATCCAAGTAGTAATTACTTAAAACGTAGTGGGCGCAGGTGCAACTGGCAATGTCAAAGTGTCCTAGGGCCCCAAAGGGAATGCTTCTCTCTAGAGCAACTCTGACAGCCCCTCCGAGGCCCCGTCCTCTGCCCCGAAGCTCAAGGCAAAGTGCCCCGACCTTGGCACCCGCATGGGAGCTGGTGTGACACTCGGTTACCTTCAGGAAGGAGCAGGGTCCTGCCATCGCAATGTGAGATGGCGTTTGTCACTCAGATCCCAAGCCTTCATTTTCTCATGTGCGAAAAGCTTGGGTGGTTTAATAAGCATTATTTGCAGAATTTCCGTGAAGCTCGGCGATAGTGTCTATAAATTGGCTGGATATAGTATATGCTCAATAAGTGATTGATCTTATTACCACTTATGGCTGGGGAAGTAATTGCCAAAGCACTGGCCCGAGGACCCGCCTAGAGGGTGGCCACATGGAAGCCTGTCACTGGCCCCAGAATCTGTGCCGACGTGTGACTGTGGTCTCTTTCGCAGCCTGGGGACACCATGGACTGGGAAAGGAGACACGTGGGTCCCAGTTCTGGCTCTGTGCTAAATAGATCTGTGACCTTGCGCAAGTCCCCGTGCCTCAATCTTTTGTCCATAAAATGAGAAGTTGAGTCGAATGTCTTCTCCCTGCCCTAAAATTAGGTTTGCATTCTCTTGGGCTTTTGCGTTTTTGTGGGTCCCACGCTGCCCCTGTGAGACTGATAAGCAGAAAACGTGTTGGGGGTGTGAGCAAAACCCAGAAAATGAAAGGATGAATAAACAAATGAAGGAAGGAATTAAAAAGGGTCGGAATCCATGAACGATTTCAGATTGCAGTAACCAGAAAATCTACAAAGAAGCGACAACTGTGTATTTTAGGTAATTTTGAAAAATAAAGATTTCTTTTGAATGAGAGGGGTAGGGAGCAAAAAGCTATAATTTTTAATATTTTGGGACTCCCAAGGTTGTAATTTGGCACTTTCAGAAGCATCCGAGAAATAGGAAGCATGGGCCTTTCTTTAATCCATGAAAGGATATCAAAATATGTCCCCCCAAAATATACCTCTTTGACATAAAAGGTATTTTTAGCTGGAGGCAATTAAGAAACAATAAACACAAAAGAACTCCTCGCCTTTTCTGCAGGAGGCAGGGTAGAAATTCTCCTTTAGTTGGAGACAGACTTACCAGCCCAGAAATGGCACCAGAGGCATCTGCAAGCAAACCTTCCCCCATTACGTCCCAGCCATGCGGCCCCTTCTCACAAACGCATTGTCCTTTGTTGAAGATGCTACACTAGCCACAGGGCTGGGCCATCGCTCTGAGTTTCTCTTTGTTGTTGAGTATCTGTCTTTTTTCTTTTTAAGGGTTCCAGCTAAAATCTTAAGATGGCAAGACATAAAGTTTTGTCTCCCCTACACCACCAAAAAGTCTCCACACCATTCTCATAATGGTGTCCAGGCAGGTGACACAGGACCACCTCCTGGCTCCAGGCCACTGGCTCCAGGACCTGCACAGCCTGAGCCTGTCCTTTGATGATTCCTTGGAGGGAAGGTGGGGTTCAAGGGCGCGTGGAAGAGCTTAGCCTTCCTTGGATGGGACTTAATTTCTTCCCAAGTCTCCCAATATCCTCAGGCCAAACTCCTTGTTGCATTAACATTGATATGTGCACAGACACCTTAGCATCCACCTGCACCACCTCCCGCCACCTGCATCATCTTCCAGCTGGAGGGAGTCATCATGGCACTGGAGCCCTCTGTCTAGATTCAGGGACTTGAAGTTGAGATATTCTGTTAGGGTTAGGACAGCAATTGTCAAGCCTGATAATATCTGAGGACTTTTTAAATATCAACAGATATGAATATTTTTTAAAATGGTGTCCATTTTGGTCAAGGTAGAAAAGTCATTGAGTTTAGAATCTAGTGTCTCCTAATATGTTTGATCATAAAAACCCCCTAACGAACGCTGTAGAAACGTCTCGTAGCTATTTCTCTTTCCTCGGGGTGGAGAGATTGCAGCTGTATTGTTAATAAGCACCCCAAGATGAGGACACTAAAGCGAGGTTAGGTGACTTGCCCGAGGTCCCCCAAATGACAAGGGCATAACAAAATCTTGAACTCCCAGCCCGACACTAAGCCGAGGTTCCTTCTTTTCTGCCTGCCTCAAGCAAAAAAGCCAGACTCACGTGTCTGTGGGTCCCACAGGGACTGGGGAGAGGGCAGAGGGACAGCAGGGGTGCGCTCCAGTCTTCGGGACGCAGTGTCTGGGGACAGAATCTGATGTCTCGGGTACCGGTCTAATTCTGCTGCTACACAGTCCGTGAAGCCCGGGTGTCCCTTCCCGACCCCATTCGTCCCTTCCACCTACAGGACACAGGGCTGGGCGGAGGCTCTCGGCGCCAGCACCCCGCCGCCTCCGCACCCAGGCCCGCGCGCGGCCTTTGCTTCCCCGCCTGCTGCACCAGCGTGTTCTGGAGGCTTCCACACGCCCGGGCTCTGTGTCGCTTTCTCTCCGACGGGACCCCGCGTGTCACAGAGACTATTTTCTGTCACCATCATGACCTGTAACAAGCGGCCAGCGCCTCGCGTGATCGGGGGAGGGTGACGACGCTACCGTCTGGAGATTGCTTGTTTCTAGATGTTGGCGCGTTTCAGATACGGGCTCGCAGGGCGAGGCGATTGGAATCTGCTCTGTGCGACATGCTCTGCGTGCTCTGGGCCTCAGTGGAGTCGAGGGGGCAGCGACCTGAGTCCGGAGGGGCCCGATCTCGGGTTAGGCTCCGGGTCAGGGTTCTCTGCTCCATAAGTGGCAATGAAGCAGAGGCACACTCGGAGCTCATGGAAGGTCCCACAGCTGGTCCAAAGGGAGCCGGGCTGTGACTTGGGAAGGGCAGCTGCCTCCGGTGTCCTGTGAAAGGCCGAGGTCCTGGGGGATGCACTTACCATCAGAAGCCACTGCGTCCCCCGTTTATGTGGCCAGTTTGTGGGGCCCGATTCGCCAGCCAGCTCAACCCTGACGGAGAAACCGAGCTTCTCTGGCGGGGAGGATGGACTTAACACCACCCACCGAGCGAGCTTCAGGCAAATGAACAGGGAGAATGATGTCAAGGGTCAACGGAAGGTTCCAGAGTCAGGAGCCAGAGCAGCGTTCGGGGTAAGGAAGGAGACAGGTCGAGGCAGGCAGGATGCCCGGCCAGGGACTTTTTAAATATCAACAGATATGAATATTTTTTGAAAGAGACCAGGTGGTGTCAATTTTGGTCAAGGTAGAAAAGTCATTGAGTTTAGAATCTAGTGTCTCCTAATATGTTTGATCATAAAAACCCCCTAACGAACGCTGTAGAAACGTCTCGTAGCTATTTCTCTTTCCTCGGGGTGGAGAGATTGCAGCTGTATTGTTAATAAGCACCCCAAGATGAGGACACTAAAGCGAGGTTAGGTGACTTGCCCGAGGACACCAAGGACCTTCCCTGTCCCCCTGTCCCCCGGTCCCCCGCCTTGGCCGGGTGTCCTGCCTGCCTCGACCCGTCTCCTTCCTTGCTCCAAACGCTGCTCTGGCTCCTGACTCTGGAACCTTCTGTTGACCCTTGACATCATTCTCCCTGCTGGGAAACAGCGGGGATGGCGCAGAGTCAGGAGCCAGAGCAGCGTTCGGGGTAAGGAAGGAGACAGGTCGAGGCAGGCAGGATGCCCGGCCAGGGCGGGGGACCGGGGGACAGGGGGACAGGGAAGGTCCTTTGTGTCCAGGACCGAGGCCCAGGGAGCGCACGGAGCACCGCAGCTTCAGAGCTGGTTCCGATCCCCCCAGGGCCTGGGACAAGAGAAGCAGGAAGCAGGTCCCTAAGGTGCAGAGACAGGTTCCGCCTGGAGGTCACGGGGTCCTGGGCGGGGGCTCCTGGGTGAGGAGGGGACAGAGTGAAGCGGGAGGCTGGGAGCTCCCCGTGGCCCAGAGGGAGGCGGGCGTCAAGCGGAGGACAGCGCAGCGGGGCTGCGGGGAGACAGCGGGGGCGGCGTCTGTCCCCTGCCGAGCGCTTCTCTCCTCAGCCCATCCCTAAAGACGAGGGCCGGGCGGGCCGCTCTGAGCCGCTCGTCAGTTTACTCCTTCGGTCATTCGGTCATTCCGCAATCGCCAGCTCACTGGGCAGCTCCTGCCCCGCAGGCACGGTGTGAGGGTGGTTGTGGGCCGGTGGCTATGGGGACACGGTGGGAGGCTGACCCGGGACTCAAGGTCACCAGAGATGACTCAGCTGTGCAGCCAGCAGGTGCTGTGTGTCTGAGGTCAGGAGGAGGCACAATCCACACACCTGTGTTTTCAGGGTGATTTGGATTTTCCAAAGCCCACGTCTAGTAAGCGATGATGGTGTTTTGAAGGCAGCTCTGCACCAGTGACTCTGGTGTCATGTTACGTTGACCAGAGGACATTGCTGGTGTGAGGACTCGGGGAAGCCCTGTTCTTAGGTCCCAGGAGAGAGAAGTTCATGGCAGGTGGAATCTTCGGGACCTGACCACCGGGGAAGGACGGCACACCTGGGCAGGTGTTCAGAGAACGCTCGCCTTCTGCCATCCTCAGTGTCATTCCTGGTCCGGTACCCAGGCTCTGTCATTGTGCCACCCGGGGACCTTCTCCAGAGTGAAAGCAACGCTCGTTCAAAACACACGTGTTAGCAGGGTCTTCTCTCGGACCCCGACCCACTGAGCAATGAGACCCTGAATGCACGCCTTGTCCACCGACGCTAATTCACGTTTTAGCAGAGCTGGAAACACCTTCTGCTTATCCCCAGAGCCACTTTAAACACGAAGCAGACTTATTGCCATTAAGAAGATTCATCTCAGCGAAGTGTAAGGGCTCACCCAAAAGGCGAGCCTTGTTGTGCCTTTTCACAGCGGCGCACACACCCAGCCGCCCCTGCGCTGTGAGTGGACTCAGCTCCGAGCCAGGAGGCCTGGGCTCCCCCTTTCCGCCTCCGACCATGTCGCCGCCTGGCCTTAAGTTCCTCTGTGGCATCAGGAGCAGCGGCGGTTCCGACGAAGGAGAGCACAGGCCTCGTGTGTAGGATCAATCAGTCTTCTCTCGGGTTCGTCGCTTGCCCTGGGTGAGGTGTTTCACCCCTCAGCCTCCAGCTTCCAGGTCTTCGCTCGGCGAGTGTGGACTGAGGCCCTCTGACACCCATGACCTTGGTGGCTCTGAGCGAGACTGTGTCTCTCACCCCAGGGAGGCCCCGATCTGACGAGGGGAGGAGGTCGTCATCCTTGGAGAGCCCCCCGGAGTGGGACCAAATATTAATATTTGCTGAATGCGGGAGGAAACGTCGCCATGGGTACAGCGTTGCTTTGATCAAGCACGACTCTGACGCCCAGAACTTACAGAGCCAGAGGCAGGGGACGCACGCGGCAGCCAGCAAGAGCTCCAGGGGTTGGGGCTGGAGATGGAAGTGGTCACGAGGTGGGGGGAGGGTCCTCACGGAGGCCGTGGGCGAGGGCCGGGGACAAGGCTTCCGGGGGTCAGGTGAGGGGTGGCGTAAGCTGGTCAGGAAGGAGGAGAGACCCGCAGCCGGAAGGCTGGGTGGGGCGGAGGGAAGGTTCTCCCAGGAAATAAATTAGCCTTTACAACCTCTTCAGAAGGAGCGGGGCGAAGGTGTGGCCGGTGAAAGCTTAGCAGGTTGGCCCAGATCAGCCACCACCACTGCGGGGTGGGGTTGGGGTGATGACTGAGTGACTCTGAATGTGTGGGGTTCGATGGAGCCCGGAGAAAGACGAAGGGGTCTCAGACAAATGGGTCTCAGACGCCCAGACGCGGACCCTACACTCAGCCAGCCGCGCGAGCTCCGGCACCTGCCTTCACGAGGCAGACAGCTGGCGTGCACCCCAGCTCCGCCGCACCCCGTTCCCTTCCCCACCTGCCCATGTGCCCAAACGTGTTCTGTCCCTTGAGAGTGAGGGAAAGGAGAGCAAGCAGGTAGCAAGGCCGCACAATGACTGAGACCCCCCGCTCTGGGGTCAGTGCGTCAAATTCCCCAGGGAGCCCGCAGCTCTCCCCCGCCCCCCAGCCGCCAACACGAGCCCCACACTTGGGTCTAAGCGGGATGCTGGCAGTGGGAACGAGGCCCAGGTGACATCACCGTTGGGCAGCCAGTGCCAAAAAAATATCGAGTGGGTGGTTTTCATCACAAAAGCTGAGCCAACTGGTAATTGAGGAGTGGGGTGAATCACCTCTGACAGGTGGAGAATGCAAACAGAGGGCCTGGGCGGGCCTATTTCCTTGGGGCAGGGCTCAGAGTCCTTTAAAAAGCCGGCTGGCCGTTGGCTTTGCACCAGCCCAGCGCGACCAGAGAGCCCGTTCTTCCCTGTGCGCCAGGTGAGGCTCTGATCGGCCCCAGAGTGAGACTCTTGTTATTTTCCCATTATTGGAGGGAAACGAGCAGAAGGCATCTGATGCGGGGCATTAAGCAGAGAGAATGCGGGGTGCTTTTGGTTTAAATGAAAACGCCGTTTGGGTTTGGAGAGGACTTAGGAGGTGGTCGAGTCAGCCACCTCGGGGGACAGCTATAGAACTGGGGCCGGGGAAGGGGACACCTGTGCCAGTTCGCACGGTAAGTTGACACTGGGATCACAACCAGAACTCAGGCCCAGGGCGCTCTCGGAAACACCGTCGCGTATGATATTTATTATAAAAATTTTAATCTGTATAATGGAGCTCTATCGACTCAGAAAGCGCGTATGTTTAAGGCACTTTGGGTAAACCAAACCGATAGGAGCGGAGTCGACAAACATGACCAGCGGAGAAAGCGATGCCGTACGAGATGCAACACAGAGTAGACAGCGGTGGGCACGAGGGGCAGGGAAGGGCTGTGGCAGTTTGGGGGAGCCGCACTCAAGAAGAGCTCCCTGGGGTGGCCCCCGATGGGAGTGACAATGGCGGTGCGTGCGGACGGGCGGGCGGGCTCCGCAGGCCAAGGCCGGCGCGACGCTGTCGGAGCTGGACTCACGGAGACTCATCCCGTTAGTCACAGGTGTGCGGCGTGGTTCGAGAGGTGCGGGGCCCGCGGTCATTTCTAAGATGTCACTTTTCGAAAGGCCTGATGCGTGGTCTCGGGTGCTTGTCAGTGAGGGGCACGGCAGGCCCGGGGAAGAAAGGGAGCTGAGGAACGAAGCCCACCGACATGAGGCAAACAAATTGCCTCCTCCCCTCGAAAGGGCCCGGGAATCATCGGAGCTGCTCAGGGGCCTGCAGTGAGAGCTGCTGGGCCCTGAACTTGGCTTCCTCCCCGGCCAATCCTTGTGCAAACCATCTCTCCCGTCCCTAGGTCCAGCCGTCTTCGCAGCATGAGCTCCCAGCAGCAGAAGCAGCCCTGCGCCCCGCCCCCCCAGCTGCAGCAGCAGCAGGTGAAGCAGCCCTGCCAGCCTCCGCCCCAGGAGCCATGTGCCCCCAAAACCAAGGAGCCGTGCCACACCAAGGTCCCGGAGCCCTGCCACACCAAGGTCCCGGAGCCCTGTCACACCAAGGTTCCGGAGCCCTGCCACCCCGTGGTCCCGGAGCCGTGTCCCTCCAAAGTCATCCCAGCATCGCCTAAGCAGACCAAGCAGAAGTAACATGGTCCGCAGCCACTCCCTGAGGGGCCGAGCCCCGGGTGCCGAGCCCCCTGTCTCAGCTGCCTGAGTCCCATTTGCCTTGCAATCAGCATGCTGTCACCCTGAGTCATAACCCCTCCCTCTCTGCACTGTCTCAGTGTGAAGCCCCCTGAACCCCTGCCCGGGCTGAGGGTCCCACTGGCCGAGCTGGTCTTCTAGCTGCTCCGGGCTCATCTGAAGGGTTATTGGGGGGATGGGGGAGGTCAGTGAATTGTCCTTGCTCTGCCCCCATTAAATCATTTTTAACTCCATCGCTGGCTACGTGTGTCATTGTCCAACTCAGCTTCCTGCACTGTTCCCCCAACAGGAAGCAGGGGGCAGGTCGTGAGGGCTCCGTGTGTGCGTGTGACTGTCGTGCCCACAGGATAGTCAGTCGGGCCACCCAGAGCCTGTTCCTCTGGGCAGCCTGAGCCAGAGCAGGGCGCTCTCGTCACCCCGAGTGAGTCATATCTGAATGTAGAGATGGCACCTGCTTCAATGCGTGTCCGACTCTGAATCCCTGCCCCAAATCGGCCTTATTCTCTTCAGCTTCTTCTATCGGCGAATCATCATCACCATCATCACCACCACCACCATCATCATCATCATCATCATCATCATCACATGGTGCTTGTATAGATTCCAACATGAGTGTCTGTTCTTCGCTTATTCTCCCTTCCTGACGTTTTGACGCAGAGAAGCAAAGCACTTAAACGCTTACACTCAGAAACACACACACATCCGCAAATACACGCTCATCACACACCACAGGGAGACACACACAGATAGACTCCTATACACACACGCACAGGTCCCCCAAATCACAACGCACGCACACGCACACACGCGGTACCTCCCAGGGGACGACATATAAGCAAATGCATCAGAGAAAGAAAGAAGAAAAGAAGAAGAAGAAAGATTTAGGCAGGTTTCAGGCGGAAGAGAGGTTAAAACGGATCGTGGCAAAGTCAGCACGAAGGGAGACTCGGAGAGCACCGAGCAGGCTCCCCCACGTCCCAGCTCAGCAAACCGATGCCCCGGGACGGAAGACGAGCCTCTGAATCACGCCCGGAGCCCAGGCTTCGGGTTCCCACCCCCTGGCTCTCTCCGCGGCAGCCCCGTCCTCTTGAGTGTGCCGGTGACCGCAGGTCTGGGAGGCTCCGTCAGGGCCCGTGCCGGCCGCCTCCCCGTGGGCTTCCCGCGTCTCCCTACATCGCGCGCTTGCTTCTCCGCCGCGACGCACCCCCGGCTCCTCTCTGCCTCGTGTCTCTTTTCCGCTGTGTGTTCAACACCCCCGCACGCCCCCTGCCACCCCACACCTCTGCGGGACCGAGCGCCCGCCCAGGGCTAGGAGACCACGCGGCGTCCGCCGAGATCCGGCGAACAGGCCACACCTTCAGCAGATGAGGCCGTGGGAACTAACCCCTTGCGAGATGTGGGGTCCGCAAATATTTCTGCCATGTGCGCTGCGTTTTCGGCCGCTGCTCGTTTCCCCTGCTGTGCGGAAGCTTTTGAGTTTGGCGCGGTCTCTCTCGACCGCTTTTACCTTTGCTGCCTTTGCTGGACGGTCGGGGTCTTTTCTTTTCCTTCTTTTTCTTCTTTTTTTCTTTTGCGTATGGATTATCCGGTTTTCCCAACGTGGGTCGAAGAGGCTGCTTTTCCGCATTATGCGTTCTTAGCGCCCTTGTCAAAAATCGGTTGACCTTTTCCGCGTAGATTTATCTACGGGCTTTCTATTCTGTTCCGCTGGTCTGTATGTCTGTCTTTATGCCAGTACCATACTGTTGTAATTATTATAGTTCGTAATATAATTTGAAAGCAGATGCGATGCCTCCGGATTTGTTCTTCTTTCTCAAGATTGTTTGGGCTGATCTGGGTCTTTTATGGTTCTCTGTGGCAATGATTTTTTTCTTTTTTTTAAGATAAGGGTTGATAAGATTATAGAGAATTTTGAACGCTCGTACACTATTGGTGAGAATATAAAATGATACAGCAGCTATGGGAAAAGTATGGCGGTTCCTCAGAAAACTAAAAATAGAACCACTATACAATCCCACAATTCCCACTCCTGGGTGTGTCCAAAAGAATTATGATCGGCATCTCTAAGAGGTGTCTGCACTCCCGTGTTCACTGCAGCCCTATTCACAATGGCCAAGACACGGAAGCACCACGTGTCCCAACAGGTGAACGGGTAAAGAAAACAGGATTTATACACACAATGGAGTACTACCTGATCTTAAGAAAAGAAGGCAACCTTGCCATTTGCGACACCGTGGATGAACCTGGAGAACATTCTGCTAAGTCAAATAAGCCGATCACAAAAGGACCAATATCGCGTGATTCCAATTACATAAAGTATCTAAAACAGTCAAACTCACAGAATCGGAGACCACGATAGTGGTTTTCGTAGGCAAGGGGGTGGGAGAATAGGTAGTTGTGATTCAATGGATATAAATTTTCAGTCGTATTAGATAAATGAGGGTTAGAGATCTGCCCTATACGCCATGCCTCCAGTTAAAAACGTGGTGTAGGATACTTAAAATTTCAGAGGGCGGATCTCATGACGCGTTCTCACAGCAGCCACAGCAGCAGCCACAATGAAAAGACACGGGGATGCGCTGGGAGGTGGGGGGTATCCTCGGTCGTGGTGACGGTATCAGGGGTGTTTGCGTACGTCCACACTCTGATCGTACATATTAACACGAAAACGAAAATGTGTCTCAGAGGGTTTTTTTCTTAGGGGAGCGTATCCATCATCTCGTGTACTCCACTGGTGAGGTGTGGCTGCCCAGGGTTAGCGATTCGAGTCTGCACTTCCACGGATGCCTTAAAAAGTCGCACAGGCAGGTCATGCTGTGGCATCCTGGAGTAGAATCCGCGGAAATGCGTGGGCACGGCCCGTACAGTCATGGCTGACCAAAGAACAAGGCCCAGAAAACGTGGAGAGTGTTGAAGGGACCCACACTCGCCCGCGGTCAGGCCCCAAGCAAGGCCCAGCCACTGGAACAGGAAACGCAGCCGCCTCCCTCCACAGGGAGAGGGGGAACCCCGGGCGTGGGGCTCACCGACGATTCACGCGCTGTACTGGGGGTCGGTTTCCTTCGTGCACGCTCCCCAGAGAAAAAGAAAAAACCGAGCTCCTTCGACGGGCAGAAAGGCCTCGACGCCCAGGCACTGAGCGTTCTCGTCCGAACGAGAAGCAGCCACAGGGCTGGGTCAAGGTTAAAAGTTCTACAGGCGGATGCCAGGCGGGTTTCAATAAGCGTGACCGAGGGATCAGGACAGGGCGGGAGAGAGCCCGCTCGGCAAAGGAGGAAGGAGTTTCTTCCAGAACCGAGCCAGAACACGAGAAAGACCCAGGTCCCACGGCAGAGCAGGAGGCCGGCTCCTCCGGAAACAGGGGACCCGGGTGGAGCAGCGGGGTCTGGTCGAAGCGCCCTCTGCTCCTGAGAGCTGGCTTTTTTGAGAGGAGAGTTGATGTGATGATACCAGGGACCGGAGCTCGGGTACGAAGGTGGCGCTGGCACCGCTCCACGAGGAGGTGACTAGGCAAACACTAGCAGAGGAGGAAGCAGATGGGCGGGAAGGAAGCAGAGGAAGAGGATGGCGAGTCCTCACCCTCGTCCCGGCTCACGGCATGAGGCCGTCACAGAAAGTGAATCAAGTGGTCACTTCATGATCGTCTAAGCAGTTTACAGACATCACTCTAAAACAATGCTTTCTCTAGCTCTCTCCCCTCCCTCCCTCCTTCCTTCCTCCCTCCCTCCCTCCCTTCCTTCCTTCCTTCCGTCCTTCCTCCCTTCCATGAACCTACACATCCATCAGGGAAAACAAATGCCCACTGACTGAGCGTCCACCGGACAGGTGTGAGGATGAGGTACCGCTCAGGCCTTTGGGGACCCATATGGAAGGAGCCCATGGACGTGTCTGTGTGGAGGGTTTTGGGTTCGTGGGAGGTGACACAGGGTGAGGCAGAGGGAAGGGAAGAGCCATCCACACGCCTGAGTTTTCAGGGTGTTTGGATTTCGCCCGGCCACACCTCGTAAGAGACCGTGTGTGGAGGTCAGCTCCAGGTCGGAGACCTCTGCTTCGTCGTCTCGTGATCAGAGGAGGTGGCCGGCGCATGGACTCAGGGAACCAGAGCTCTCTCGCTCTCACGTCACCCTCAGAAAAGAGAGGCCTCCAAGAGCGGTAAGGTGTTCAGCGCTGTGCCGTCGCGTCGGACGGACCCGGCCACCCCTGACTGCCCATCTCGAATGCCATCCACTCTCCCCGGTCAACGTGGCAATTTAGAGCTCTCGCCAGCAGTGTAAGCGGTTCCTTGCCAAAGCATCTGGAGAATTTTAGCCTTCCCTTTCCTCTCTCAGGCCGGGACCCACTGGGAGGTGGGACAGCAGATGGCTCACTTATTGTCACTTACTGCATAGTCATTTAAGTTCAGGTGACTCACTCACTGTTCCTCAGAGCCTCCCAGAAGAACCGGTGATGCCTGCCGTTCATCTTCCCGTCCGCTCACAAAACCGAAATACCCAGGAGAATTCATCTGAGCTACGGATTAGGGTCCTGCCCAAAACCCTAGTCGCTTCTGTCCTAGAAGCCCAGAACTTGCCCCTGACTTGACTCATCACCACCCGAGAATCCCGTAGCCCATAGCCACCTCACCCCAAAGGATGGGCCATGGGGATAGGCCCTGGTGACACATCTTTGTCAAAGAATACGTTCCCCCCCAAAAAAATGTTAAGCCAGAGATTTTCATTACAAAAGCTTTGGAATGAAGATAGAGTAGCCTGCCTCAAAAAAAAAAAATCCCCCTTCCTTAAGGCAAGGCTCAAATTCTGTATAAAACGCCAGCCGGCCAGAGACGCACCAGCAGACCTGAGAGGCTGACGGCGTGACCTGTCCTCTGCACCAGGTGAGTCTCGACACTCGGAATGTATAAATATTTGCCCGATCGCATGTTATTTGATTAGGAACGCTTTGCCATGCCGCGGATATATTTATTTCAAACGCGGTGCTAATTCGTGTTTAAGGTGACGTTAACCGATCTTTTTGACTCCGTATTTAGATTACAGCTGTGGAACGCGGGGTCAGGAAAAGGCAGTGGTTTTTGTAATGACCATCTGCTCGCTTACAGGTTAGAGACCACTGCCCACGGCCGGGGTGTTCTCGGTGGCTTTGAATGGTGACTCTCTCTCATCATTACTGAGAGTTTGCAATACCGAAGGCACTGCACTGGCCAGCTGGATGTCCAAAAGATAGGTTTTCCTTTACTCTGGGAACCCACGATCCATCAGGGAACATAAAACGTGGGCGTAACTTGCAAACATGAGCATGGAAAGTGATCAGGAGGAGCAAGGCGACTTGGGTCTGGCAGGGTGTCTGGGACGGAGCCACGGCGGGCAAGCGTGTGCAGACAAGCAGAGGCAAATGGGAGGCTTCCAGGCAGGACGCGCAGAGAGGCCAGCGTGCAGGAACGCGTAGGTGGGACACGTGGGCTGAGGGATGATCATACGGAGTTTTCCTATGAGAGCTACGTGGTGCACGTGAGCAGGTAGACGCCAGAATGTTCTTTCCATCTTCCTTCCAAATTCTTGGGAAGCCGGGGCCTCCATCGATCCTGGCAGGCAGCCGTCGCATCGAGTTGCAGGTGGAAGTTTGCAGAATCGCCCGGGAGAACGGGAGCGGAGAGCGGGCTCTGCTCACGGGCGGCCGAGCAAAGCACCGTCACGCTTCTCTTCTCGAAAGTGCAGAAGACTCTCCCACGGGCCCGCTGATCTCAAGCTCGGGGAAGCAGAGAGGGTAGCGAGGCTGCCACCCCTGAGGGGCGTGACGTGAGACGTAGTTATCACTAAACCTGTCTTGTTCCTTGTCTCACCAGAACAGAGTCAGCTCTTCCGTCCCTAGGGCCAGGCGCCTTCGCAGCATGAGCTCCCACCAGCAGAAGCAGCCCAGCACCCTCCCCGCCGAGCTTGACCCGCAGCAGGTGAAGAAGCCCAGCCAGCCTCCGCCCTCAGGACCATGCTTTCCCCCCAAAATCGAGGATTCAAGCTACGTCGACTTGCCATCTCCTGGCCACGCCAAGGTGCCAGAGCCGGGCTACCCCAAGAATCCCGAACCGGGACACCCCACTTTTCCTGAGCGGGGTCACGCCAAGGTCCCTGAGCCCGTCCACCCTAAAGTCCCTCAGCACAGTCAGTCAAAGGTTCCTGAGCCACAGCCTCCAAAGGTCGTTCCAGGCTCAGGCCAGAAGACCAAGCAGAAGTAATGCCAGACACGTCCACAGCCTCGCCCCCGGCCTCGCCCCGAGGGGCCGGCCACCGAAGGCTGGCACCTTCCTTCCGCCCTGCGCTTTGATTGCCTCTGGAGCTCGTAATCAGTATGCTCAGTCTCTGTCTTATCTGCATCAAAAAAATATGTGCTGGGTTTTTTTTGGAGGTCCCCTGAGCCTCGAAATCAAGCAGGGGTCTCTGTGGCTTCGCTGGTCTCCAGCTGCTCTGGGTTCCACGGAAGAGGGAATCTGGGTGGAAAGTCATGTGTGTTCTCCACTCTGCCTCCATTAAATCGCTTTTCGGTCCAGTCCTGGCTGCGTGTGTCATTGGGTGACTCTGTCTCATTCACTGCTACCCCACCAGGAGTATAGGGTCTGTGATCAGAGAGGACTCGGTGTCGACGTCACCTGTCTACGCTGGCACCTGTCTATGCTGGCACTGTGTGCCTCCGCGAGCGTGTGTGTGGTTCCATTCAGGGGGTCGACGTCACCTGTCTATGCTGGCACTGGGTGCCTCCGCGAGCGTGTGTGTGGTTCCATCCAGGGGGACATATGGTCCCACGATTAGAGTGCCAATGGCTATTGAGCAATGAAGCTAAGAGCCTGTCACTTTGGGCAGCCGCACCTGGAGCGGTGTGTCCTCTGGCACTGCACCGAGTCCCACTCGAGTCCCACGGTGTCTGCTCCAAAACCACCTCTGATCTGGAGGACCCGGTCCCCAAGGTTCCTGCTTACTCCCCAAAACATCACTTCTACTTACTCAAACCCGATTATTCCGGTTTTCCCCACTGAATCCACAGTGACAGACTCGCCCAGTGACTTAAAACCACAGCTGAGTTTTCGGTAGGGATTTTAAAAAGGAGCACACAACCCGGGCGAGGCAGACGATCGGCCCCAGCGCCGAGCCGGTCATCCAGCGGAAGGACGTCGGGACGGAAAAGAGACGTAAAGACGGTTACAGTAACCCAGAAATGATGTTTTTGCATCACACCTAGAGCTGGGTTCCCCAGACCACCCCTCCCCCTCATTCCCTTCTGCGGTCACGTCTTGCCGCCTCCCGAGGGTGACCAGTAGGGCCGCGGGTCTGTGTTGAGCGGGTGGGGTTATTCCAGAGCTGACTCCAGCGACACAGAAGGCACCAAAAAGTTTCAGAAGTGCTACCCTAGTCATCAGGAAGCCAACCCCATCCTTGGATAGGCTGCGGGGTCCATAATGCCAAGGATTGTGAGACGAGTGACAGGTGCCACTTGTATCATGAACAAGAAATTCACAGAAGTGTGGCAAGAATCCAGATATTTGGAAACCGGTAAGACAGAAATTGTCCGACGAGTCCTTGTAAGGTGGAGTAGCTGTCAAACCGGCAGAAGCGGATGGCGTTTCTGGGGTCTGTGAGGGACGCACATCTGCGTGGCTTCGTCTTACTGCTGATTTCAATGGTGGGAGAGTCTGGTGACAACTCCGGGGCCACTCACCGAAACCAGTCACCAACCAGGCTGATCTGAATGGAGAAGTGAGCTTCGTGATGCGCACGGCTGTTCCAAGGGAAAAAGCGATTCTATTGTTTGAAGCCTGCTTTAAAAAAAAAAAAAAAAAAAGTGTTTTTATGGTGATATAGCATAAAATTTACCGCTTTCACTCTTTTTAAGTGTGCAATCCCCTGGCATTAACTATATTTACAATGTTGTGCATTTTTATTAAAAGGTATGCACGCACATGGGTTTATGGAGAATTTTAAAAATCGCGACACTAAAGACAGCGAAATATAAACAGTGATTATTTCTGGCTTCTTTACGTGAATACTCATTTTTTAAATAGTTTTGTGTTTTCCACATCATATCTTCTGTGTCATTATTTCTTTTTGATAACTTTCTATCATAATATTTAAAAAGGACACTGCTGAGCTAGAGGAAATGCCTGTCCTGCCTTTCTAGGACATTCCAGAGGCTCTGCAGACCAAGGTGGGGGCGCCATTCCACATCCTCGCTGGGGTACACCATGTGTCTCTCCTCCCCACACAGCCCCACCCCAATTCCCAGTCTTCTGAGAGGGACCATGGATACCCCAACGCCCACTGACGGCGACAGCGACAGTGTCCGCAAACCCTGCCCACCGGCCATCAGCCAGTGCCACTTAATGGGCTAAATAAAGAGCCGTCGCCACCTTGTCCCAGCTCCTTCCCTTCCCTCAGCTCCCCTCCTCCTCTTGGCGAAATTGTCCCCCACTGGGCCGAAAAGTCCGAACTATGGCCGGCTTGGCAAAGTTCACGTCCACGGCCTGGTTGCTCGAGTCACTTCACGCGGATAAAGAAACACACTTTTGGTTACAATTCACGGTTCTTCCTTTTCTCTGCTCCGTCATCTCTCTTCCTACCACTGGCACCACGACCACCATCATTCTTGGGGGTGTGGGGTGGGGGGTGCCTTTCTGGTTCAGATAGAAATTGCTCGAGGGGATTCCCCGGACTTCCACGTTGACTTGGAAGCTCAAG